GCCCCCCTCCGCCCTGCCCCCCGCGGGCCACCGGGTCGGGGTCGCCACCGGGGCTCGGTCAGTCGGTACCTTCATGAAGGTCTCTACCGCGCCTTTGGCCGTGTCCAGGTAGGTGGTGCCCAGATGGCTGCGCTGGTTCATAGAGGCAGACGTGTCTATCAGGAACAGTAAGATGGGCATAGTGCTGGCCGGGGACACCGGGGCCCGTGGTGGTGAAGAGATGGCAGAGGTGGAGGCACCGGCGGCGGCGGCGGCAACCGCCGCTACGCGGGGCGGGGAACGCGGCCCCCGGGAGGAAAACACCGGCTGTGGGGAGTTTCTCCCCCGATAGTTGAGAGGAAACTCCCTAGCCCAGGTCCTCCCGGTCGTACCCCCGCCTCCGGCCTGCCTGCCCGCTGGGGCGGCCGCACGGACGTCTGTCCGTCCGTGCCCCCCGCCTGGGGGGGGTCCCGTCCCCACTCCCGGCCCCTGTGTGTGTCCCCGCGGGAGACGGGCCCAGTTCCCCACCCCACCCCCAGTGCAGGGAGTGGGGAGCAGGGATCTGGCGAAGAGGGGAGTGGGCTGAGGGAAGATTGGCCCTGGGGCTGTTGGGAGAAGTTTCAGGGACTCCCTCCGCACCCCAGCGGTGTCACCACTTTCTCAGCCCCTCTCGCTACTGAAGCGCTTTTCTCTCTCACTCTCCGGTTTTAACTCGGGCAGGGGCTACGTAGGCTCCGCCCCTGACACGTACTTGCGTCACGTGACGCCCAGCCCCGCCGCTCTACTGGCTGGGCCTCAGAGCCTCATTAGCATATTCAAACAGCTCAGGGGCGGGGGAAGTCTGTAGGCCGACTTAGAGGACAGTTATTGAGCACGCGCGGAGGCGGGGCACGGGGGGGGGCCACGCCACGGAAGAACCGCGGGCGGGGGGCGGGGACTGTGTCGGCGCGCGCAGGGCGGCCGCGGCTGTAGGCGTGCGTGTCAGGGCGTCCGGCCTTTGGGCTAGTGCGCGGTGACAGGATCGGGAGAAGGGAAGTGGAAGCCGCCCTCAGGCTGTGGGCGAGGGCTCTGCGTCGTGATTGAGAGTGCAGGGCTGGGGAGAGTGAACCGACGAGGGCTAGGGAACCACGCAGGCCCACGCGGCCGGAGCAGGCCCGGTCCCCGGACGGCCCGGGGCGCCTGGGGGGGGGGGAGGGGAAGTGAAAGGTTGTTTATGACCTGGTACTAATCCCCCGCCAGTCATTCGGCTCCGGTTGCAGCCGGTCAGAGGACCCACCGAAAAGGAAGCTAGTCCTGGACTGCCTCACCCAACCCTGCAAACACGAAGGGGAACTCAAATGTGGACGAGGAAAGCCAACCGCGCTGTCCTCCCCAGCCAAGTTCCCTCTTCCGCTCGCGTTAGGGCACTAGAATATATTAAGAAATAAAAGGGACTTGCCAAATCCTAGTCCACTGCCTTTTTTAAAATGGAAAGGATGACCACGTTGCGCAGGTGACCCAGAGAATAGGTTTCCCGGAAACCCGCCTTTCAGTCCCTGCCAGTATTGTGTCAGAAAACATTCTCGGCCCATGTCACATTACCCCAAGTCTTCACTCTGCGCCTGCAAGTCCGAAGAACTGTTCCCAGATGTAGTTGGAAAACTGCAAGACGCTGCTGATAAACAAGTTGAATTTGGGACATAGAGGCCTTGTTAGACTGTAGGTATTTATAGGGCCTCTCCCACCGGCCCTGCAGCTCCGTATCTTCTCTATGCTGAAATTCTGACCTGCTGGGCAACTGAAGTAGCATGCTTGTGGCGTTTTTTTTTCTTTTTGGAAAAAAAAAAAAAAAGGTTCTCTTTGTTGTTTGGGCTTTTCCTAATATTTTAGGGGGAAAAATTGAAAGTTTTTAACTTATTAACAATAAATTGTAGCGTGCTGTTTTGTAGGAATGAATCATAGTAGAAGCATGAGATTATTAGAGATTCAGACTATAAAAAAAATGAACTACCAGCCAGTATTTGCTGCAGACTAGTTATGCCTAGGGCTGATGGGAATTAATATATAAAAGGAGGGCCCTGACTTCAAGGAGTCTAAAAACATAAAGATAAAAATCAGAAGGTGATTGCTATAATTCCGGAAGAAAAAGAAAACTGTTAAATTGTGTAGTTTCCAAGGTTTGAGTGTAGTACTTCTTGAGAATCTAGATCCTAATCGGATTGATAAATTGCTTGCACGGCCATGCAGGCCGTTTTTCTCTTTCCAGGCGAGTGCAGAATTTTCATAGAGGTAGTCTCATTTTCTTATCAGGGCGTTTAAGGCATGTGTGGCCCTGCCTGTCTGAAAACAGATTCCAAAAGGACCATAAGAATATCTGTTTCCTGTGTGTTGTGGAATGGTGTTGAGTTCAGTGTGAGTTAAAGAAGCAGCAGTTGCTGGTGAGAAGAAAGAAGAAAAAAAAATCAGGCCACTAGAAATTGCTGATAGCCACAGCTAGACCACAGCACCAGCCAGGAAGGTCACTGGGCCCAGATAGCAGAACACCTTTAGTCCACTGAAGAAAATTCCCTCCTCTATATTAGATCAGTTTTGTTGAGGGGTGCTAAAACAAAACCACATTTGCAGGAAATCCAAGGAGTCAGTTATTTAAAATCACTTTCCAGGAAAACCAAGGCAGTTCTTCCCTGACTCAGTGCAGTTAGCAGATTGTCACCCTAGGGTTATCATGGAGGTGTGTGAAGGATACTGCTACAAAGAGGAGGGGAGCCAAGTCCAAGGGAACTAGCCTGAAGCAATTAACCAGAACCCGTGCTTGTGATGGTACTGGAGACCAAAGATCACGTTTTCAGCCAGGAAGTCCAGAAGGTCTGAATGACAAGGCTGTCAAGGGAACGGGAAAGAGATAGCAGCAAATACACAGTGAGAAACCAGAAACATTCACAAGCAGTCCTTAGACAAAATTGTGAAATGGGCCGCCTTTATTTTGAAGTGACTCCGGGTCACAGTTTCATGATTGGTTGATGAAGGTTTAAAAAGCAGTTCTTAGCCAAGACTTGCACAACAGCACTACCTATAGAGCTTTAAAACACAATGCACCAAGCGACCATGCCCAGAGGAAGACGATTCAGTGAAATTAGGAAGATGGCTGGGAGAGTAAAAGCACTTGTCTCCTGGTGACCCACTTAAAGGGAGGGCAGCTCACACTCCACAGAAGTTCCCTCTGACCTCCACATGCTTGACATTGCTCCTGTGTGTCACATACATCATGTGCACAGTAATAAAATTAAATTTGAATTGGGATGGGCCCTGGTCTCCGGGTTTTTAAAATTTATTCAGCTGACTCTTAAATAGTGCTGATTACTAACCCCGTATTTAGGGCTGGCAAGATGGCACCAGAGGTAAAGACACTTGTCTCATAAGCCTGGCAACTTCAATTTGATCCTCATAATGCACATAGCAGAAGGAGAAAACTGACCCCGTGAGGCTGTCCTCTGACCTTCACAGTTATATCATGTGGCATGCACCCCTCCCATACACATCATGACATACACAATACTACATGTTTAATGTACAAGAATTATATATGTCTGGCCTCTACTAGTATTTTTCATATAACCTTATAATTACTGCATTTGTTAAAAAATAAAAAATAAAGGGAGAAAATGCTAAATGTGATCACCAGTCCGTATAGTGGATTTGTGGCATATGAACATAATGCCAACTATATTTGGCAAAAGGGGAGAGAGATGGAACAAGAACACAAATGGCTCTGGAGAATGCCACCATACCTCAGCGAGCTTTGTCCCTGAAGGAAACAAGAGATGAACACAGTGAATCTCTCCTTCGTTCATTTTCTTCCTGTGGTACTTGAAGACGTCTACTTATATTCAGGCTTACTTTCCTAAAATATGGTCCCTAAATTCAAGCCGAGCAGTTCCTAAGATTTAACTGAAGAAATAGCTGCTGTGTCGCTGAAGTGCCAGACTATGGTATCTGCAAGGGCTGTGCTGCACGTTGTGAGAGCTGTTCCTGAGGGGCACTAGTCAGAGCCATTATGGGGGAGGAGCTGGTCTTTGTTTCCCAGCACCCACATGGCAGCTCACAATTGTCTGTAACCCCAACTCCATAGAATCCATCACCCTCTTCTGGCCTCCATGAGCACCCATAAACATAAATACAATCTCTTTTAAAATAGGGAGTATAATCCAAATGCCCTTGCTCTTTCAGAGAGAATGATTATATGGAAAACAGAAAGCATGGTGACTCTGACTTAAGCAAGGCCCAAGATGTTGAAGCAGAACAGAATTAAGAACTGGTGTGTTATAGTCTTCCATAGGGGCCAACCAGAAAATTTTTAAATCACTTTAAACCAAGCAGGGTAACACTTTTAAAATAACTGTGTGCCAGTAACTTGACTTTTGATATCTGGATATGCCATTGTCGTGACTGTTCCCCCCCCCCACCCCCGGGTCTGGGCATTCAGCTGCACTCCAGTGCAGAAGATCATCCCAGCTGGGCTTACATCCCAGCATGGAGGGACCGAGAAGGCAAGATACCCTCACCTGACTGTCCAGCTGCTCTCTACCACCTGTTTATACCCTACTCCGTTTTAATTGCACACGGCCTGAGGGAGGGACTAGAGTATATATAACCCTGGGAAGGCTAGAGGGACCGCCCAAACACCTGTAAGTAACGTGTGTAAAGAAGTCCAATAAACCATTGGCTCCCCAGAGTTTGCTTTGGTGAACTCAATACCTCATCATGTCATTGAGACCTTAGGCATTGTTTATGTCTTCTCCTTGTAAGAAATTGAGCAGCAGACATCCAAATAGAACAAGCAGGTGAACCCAGTGTTCCGCAGAAGTAATGTAACACAGTTGCATTTGACTGTCTACCTCTTCCTCAGCATCCTGCTGGTCTACCTCCTTTTGGATCACCATAGTGATGTTAAGAAAATTGTGACCGCATAGAATTGGATATGAAATTATGCAACCAAGGTAATAAGATAATATACATAAAAGGAAGCTTAGTTTTGGCTGTACACATTATGTAAGTCCTCAAAAAAATGCTAGGAAAAAAAAATTACACCTTTAGACCCATCATTCAAAAGGCAGAGAAAAGTAGAACTCTCTGGGTTCAAGATAGCCTAGTCTGCATAGTGAGCTTCAGGATAGCCAAGGGTACATAGTAAGATCCTGCCTTTAACAACAACAACAAAGAAAATATATTGAAAATTGTTTTTAAGCTGGTCATGAAAAAAAACCATGAAAATTGTATTGCTAACACTACATATATATCATTCATGATTATTAAAACATTTCAAATGTGTTTTTCTTTCAAATAATTCATGAAAATAAAGTCTTTTAGACCCTAAAAATAATAATAATACTACATAGATTTTGCCTTCAGAAAGTTTGCGGCATAAGAGGAGAAGTAAAGATCCATAGTGCTAGCAGGCTGTAATCAGTGCCGAGAAAGATGTGCAAGTCATTCCTCTAGATGTAGTGGGAAATTGTTCGGACTGGGAGTGGATAACAGGAAGCAGCATTTTCCCCTTCAAAGCTTTATAATTTTTGAGAATTTTTTTTATAAAACCTGAAGGCAGAGGTTATTGTTGGGGTGTGGCTATAGCACCTGGCTCATCTGTGAGAGACCCTCCGTTCAATCCCCGGCGCCACCGAAAGAAACTAAACTGAAAGTAGGTGTTATTGTCAACAGTTTTTCAAAATATATAAGATTAACAAAAAAAAGAGAAAAATTTAAGTTTTAACCTCACTACCCAGTGAAGTGATTTAACTAAGGATAGAATTTTAGTATATGTTCCTTCTTTTATATTCAGAATAAAATCGGAGTTCTTTATGTTCTTTTTTCTACTTACTATATTGTGAGCACTTTGGGAGGTAGATGGGGGCTCTTGGCAGGCTGGAACTCTCTGTGCAGGCCAGTCTGGCCTTAAATTCACAAAGATTTACCTGCCTCTGACCTCTGAGTGCTGGAATTAAAGGTGGGCACCACCATGTCCAGCCCATATTGTTAATCCTTAAATGTTAAAGTAATTTTAAAGGTTTTTATTAGCATGTATTAATTATGCATAGTACTGGGTTTTATTATGACATTTTCTAGTTGTATATAATGTATCTGTACCATGTTCACCCCCATCACCCTCTCTTGCCCCACAAGTCCCACTGATCCCATCTACTTTTGTGTCTAATATAATTTTTAATAAGTGCATGCTTCTCCATTCATGGACATATCACAGTTTAATTTCCTATGAAAACAAGGTCTTCTGAATCAACTAAGCAAGGCTCATATGAACTCACTGAGACCGATGCAGCGAGCACAGGGCTGACCCAGGGCTGACCCAGGGCTGCACCCGTTCTTTGAATGTATGTTCTAGCTTTCAGCTTCGTATTTTACGAGTGGCTCTCTGATTCTCTCTCTCTTTCTTTCCATCTTTCCTTCTTGTTTCTTTCTTTCTTCCTTGTTTTGTTTTGTGTTTCAAGAAAGGGTTTCTCTGTGTAGCTTTGACTGTCCTGGAACACACTCTATAGACCAGGCTGACCTCAAGCTCCGAAATCTGCTTGATCTGCCTCCTGAGTTCTGGGATTAACGGCGTGAACCACTGCTGTCCTCTAATTCTTGAAATGCTTCCTTTTGTTAGGTTGCCCTCTCAATGTGATGGGTTATGGTTTTTATTTTATCTTACTATATTTTGTCATCTTTGGTTGTTATCACCTAAAAACGTGTTCTGTTCTAATGAGAGACAGAAAGGGAGTGAGTCTGGAGGGGAGGAGAAGGGGGGAGAAATGGGTAGAAGGAGAAATCGTAATTGGGATATACTGTATGAGAAAAATCTTTTTCGTTTCTTTTTTCTTTTTTTTTTTTCTGGTTTTTAGAGACAGAGTTTCTCTGTGTAGCTCTGGAGCCTGTCCTAGAACTCACTCTGTAAACCAAACTGGCCTCAAACTCATAGAGATTCGCCTGCCTCTGCCTTCCGAGTGCTGGGATTAAAGGCATGTGCCACCACCGCCTGGCTGGAAAAAAAATCTACTTTCAATAAAAGGAAAAGAAAAAGAAAACATCCCTCCTATTGAATTTATTTTCAGGGCCTGTGTCTCAGTTGGTAGAGTGCTTGCCTAGCATACATACAGCCCTAGATCCATTCCCCAGCACTACGTAAACTTAGCTTGGTGGTATATGTCTGTAATTCCAGCACTGTGGAGGTAGTCTGGAGGATTAGGCTACATAATGAGTTTGAGACCAGACTGGAAAACATGACATTCTATTAAAGTGTGGAGGAGTGGGGAGACTGGAAGGTAACAGAAAAAGGCATGGAAGATGGGAATGAGGGATGGAGTACAGGGAGAGACCGCTAACATTAAAGCCCATTTGAGGGGCTCTATGGAAACTTACTACCATAGAAACTTCTTAAGATATATACATATATGAAAGAAATCTAAATTAAACCATCTAATAATGGGAAAGACAAAGCTGCAGCTAAACACCCTCACCACCGAATTAAACTTCCAGTGCCAGGCTTCCATCTAATCGAGATGAAGGCCAAACCCCCAAACCACTCAGGCTGTTGCTCTCCATCAGTTGATGGTAAGACTCTATTGCTGAAGACAATGGTTACATATCTCACTGAGCATGGAGACGATGGTCCCTAACTAAAGCGTCCACTCCAACTGGCTGGTTTCATGGTATGGGAAGATACTCTGCATGCTACCAGAGGAGAAATTCACTTTTTCAATCTGCCTGCATGATATTGCTAGTGCAATAATGACACAAATGTTTTGGGAGTAATCAACCTCTGTCTGATTGGATTTAAGGCCTACTCCCTGAGATGGAATCCAAGCCTGACTCAGTTCTGGTGGCCGAGAACCTGAGACTAGATAAGACAACGGGCCTAAGAGAAAAACAAATGCTATTGTTCTGCTAAAGAAATATAGCGAGGGAGGAGAGGGAGTGGGGGGAGTGGGAGGGTATTGGGAGGAGGGGAGGAAGTGGAAAGAGTGTTTTCGGATACTTGAATAAACAAGTCTAACGGAAAAAAAAAGTTTAAAGCATTTAAGCAATAAATGAGACACAGCTCAAGGAAACGAAAAAAAAAAAAGAAATATAGCAATATGGGCGGTGGTGGCACATGCCTTTAATCCCATCACTCGGGAGGCAGAGGCAAACAGATCTCTGTGAGTTCGAGGCCAGTCTGATCTACAAGAGCTAGTTCCAGGACAGGCACCAAAACTTACAGAGAAACCTTGTCTTGAAAAAAACCAAAACCAAAACAAAAACAAAAAAAAAAAGAAAAAAAAGAAATGTACCAATATAATGACTCTTAAGGCTATTCCTCTATACCTCATTCAGCCATCATCAAAGAAGCTTTCTCCAGCAGAAGATGGGAGCTGTCACAGAGACCCACAACTGGATGATGTGCAGAGAGTGAGACACTTTGGAACACTCAGTGCTAAATGGGGTGTCCTCATCAAGTCCCTCACTTTAAGGCTCAGCGCTCTGTGCAGAAGAGGAAGTGGAAAAATTGTAAGGACCAGAAGGGATGGATGATACCAAGGAAACAGTGCCTTCCAGACACAAAAGGACTTCAATTAACAACTGCTCACAAAGGAAAAATTAGCTTCTCCAAGGGAGTCTTACTACACATACAAGCCACATTTAAGGGCAGGTCCCATGCCCAGCAGTAAATGACCAACACAAAAGAAATTTAAAGGTATTTTTGGAGATTTTTTTTTTCTTGTCTCATATTGCTTTGGGGACTTTTTCTTTTTTCTTTTCTTTTTTTTTTTTGTACCTTACTGATCTTTTGCTTGTATAATATGGTTAATATTTTGAATTTTTAAAAGTTTTGTTTTAAAGGTTTTGTTTTGTTTTATCATTGAGGTTATATAAAGCCTTGAAGTTGGATGCTATGCAGTCAAAGAATACATGTGTAGAACTTGGAGTTCTTTGCACAGTTCTTATCTCACCTTGCGGGTGCTTGGGTTTTAACAGTGTTTCTACCAACAGAAACGGTAGCAATATAATCATTAACCAATTCTGGAAGTTCTTCAGCTGATCACAAGCAGATTCTGGGTATGTACTGGCAGATATGCAGGCAAGCACAACCAGCCCATGCCTTTTTATGTATGGATCAGGACTCAGATTATACTCAGCCCACGTGTGACTATCTGGGCTGAGGTGTACTGTGTGAGATAAGACATGAAAATATTTTTACATGCTATATTTTGAAATGGGTCATTCTTGGGAAATAAAAATAGATAACTAAGGGAAAGTTGATGGTTTAGACCTTATACTCCCGAGGGGAAGATTTGTTGGTTTTTTGTTTTGTTTTGTTTTGTGTGTGTGTGTGTGTAGAGAATAAGGGAAGAATGGGTAGGGGTTGAGTATTAAGGGATAGTTCTTAAAGTGAAGAGGGAAAGGAATAAGTTTGGAAGGAGCAAGGGAAATAGAAGTGTCAGCACAGTCTTAGTAGGCAGTTGGTCCAGAGGGCAAAGGGGATCTTTGGAAATCCGTTCTTACTTTGTCATTCTTTTGGTTCAGACTAATTGTGGTACTTTGGTTTGTTATGAACTTTAGTACTGTTGTGGAACAATTAATAAATAACTCTTCACGGACCAAAAGAAAAAGTTTCATTTGTGTGTGGGGTGTGCTTATGTATGTATCTCTTGTGTTCTTAAGTTTATTTTCTTTTGTTTGTTAGTTTCTTCATTTTGTTTTATTCTTGTTTATCTTTTTTATTTGTCTGCTATTTTCTTAGAGGGAAAGAAGGCTGGAAGAGTGGGGAAATACGGAGAACCTGGGAGATGAAGGAGGGAAAACTGAACAGATTAAATTGTATAAAAATAACTTTATTTTTAATTAAAAAGGAATGATACCACTTTATCAAGATCTTTTTAATAATTCCATAGCTATTTTCTGCATACTAGCTGCTACTCTGAATGTTTGAGATTCGTTAGTAAACAAGTTGCCCATATTTATAAGGCAGACAAGTGTTTACAAGCTGTAAACTATATATCACATCAGTACATATGTGCTCCAGAGGAAAATACAGCAAGAGGCTGGAGAGGTGACTTAGCAACTTAAAGTTCTTGCCACATACAAGGATAAAGATCTGAGTTCAAATCCCCATGACCTGTGTAATAGTAAGGCATGGTAGCACAATTCTGTAATTAGCACTGAAGAAGGACAGGTGGATCCCAGGGACTCACTGGCAAGATAGTGAAAACAGTGAGCTTCAGACGGGTGGTAGTGGCACAGGCCTTTAATCCCAGCACTCAGAAGGCAGAGACAGGCGGATCTCTGTGAGTTCGAGGCCAGCCTGGTCTACAGAGGGAGTTCCAGGATAGGCTCCAAAGCTACAGAGAAACCCTGTCTCAAAAAACAAACAAACAAAAATCCAGTGAGTTTCATGGTCAATGAGAGGCCCTGTGTCAAAAAAATAAGATGGAGGGGGCTAGAGAGATTGGCTCAGCAGTTAAGAGCACTTGCTGCTCTTGCAGAGGACCCAGGTTTGGATTGTAACCTGTAATATGAAATAAACCCTTCCTCTCCAAGTGGCTTTTGGTCATGGTGTTTATAAAAAAAAACAGTAACAATACACACATGCACACATTCAAACGCATACCAGAGCACTCACTGAATAAAAAAACAGCAAGAGTTGGAAATATGACTCAGCAGTTAAGAGCATGTTCTGCTCTTGTAGAAGACCCAGCACCCACATGGTGGCTCATCGCCAACTACCATCCCAGTTTAGGGGATCCAGTTCCTTGTTCTGACCTCTACAGGCACCAGAATACATGTGATGTAATATGTGCATGCAAAACATTCATACCACTAAAATAAAAAAAAAATAAAGTGTGGAGTAGTGGCCTGGGGATTATATTTTCAAATGAGACATTTACAAAAGGACCCACTGAGAAAGTGACATTTGATTACCACCCAACAGCAATGAGGCAACAAGCTAGGCATATAATGATGACGACAAAAAAAACCAATCATGTAACAACCCTAAATTTGGATTGGAGCTTGCATATGTAAGGGACCAGAGAGAGGTGGCCAGAGAGGGATAGAACGTTGTTGCGATGTAGGCTCTAAGACCCAAGAGTTGGAACTAGCGCATGTCAAACTGCTGATGAGTGGATTTACCTCCCTCCGTGTGGGACAGGAAGCCACTGGAGGATGCTGAGCAGAGCATCATTTTAGAGCAGAGTGGACTGAAGAAGGACAAGCAGAGTCAAGAACCATCAGGAGGTGGTTACTGTAATCCAGCAGCAGGGGTGGCTTGAAAAATAACATGAAGTTCACAGTGAAAGTGACTTTAGACAGAGAAAGGAACAGCTTCAAATGCTTCCAGTATTTTTCTTGGCGAAATTTTCTCAAAGAAAGAGTTACGACATGCATGTTAAGGGTTCTTCATATATACGGCAGAATGGTTCACCTGAGAAGGTCCAGTTCATACTTCCACCATTCCCAGTGACATATAGTTGACAAAAAGATTCTGAAAGGTCAGCCATGGCCACTCATGACTCTGGTCCAGCAGCTCAGGAAGCTGAGGCCAGAAAATCACTTCAATCCAGGAACCTGAGAGAAGTCCGAGCTTCATATCGAGACCAGCCTCTCTCAAGAAAACAAAGTGTTGTAGCCTGAGTTTACTTATAAGATTTTGTTTTTATTTCTTTTTATGTGGCTGAATGTGTTTATTTGAAGAGGGTGTCCAATTCCCTGAGTTAAGATAGAGTTAAGGCTGTTGTGAGCCACCTTATATGGGTGCTGGGAAGTAAACTCGGGTACTCTCTTAACTCAGCAACTAAACTCAGCAAGCTCTCTTAACCACTGAACCATCCAACCAGTCCCAACACTTTTTTTCTTAACAATGAATTTTTTTTATTTGACTTTATTTTATGTGCATTGGTGTGAAGGTGTCAGATACCTGGAACTGGAGTTACAGACAATTGTGAGCTGCTATGTGGGTGCTGGGAATTGAACCCGGGTCCTCTGGAAGAGCAGCGGGGTGCTCTTAACTGCTGAGTTATCTCTCCAGCTCCACCCCCAAATACTTTTTTAAGAGCTTTACAAAGTGCTTTCATTTACAAAGAGCCATTAGGAAGATTAGATTTTGCACATATTCGTGTGTGTGTGTGTGTGTGTGTGTGTGTGTGTGTGTGTATTCATTTATATAGATAGATGTTGTATTTGTTGACATGTTTTAAGGAAAAAAATCAAATGCAGATTACCAAAGGCTAGATGTTCCCTTTGAAACCTATATTATAGCAATAACATTGGTGATTTGCAGAAGACTATCAACTAGAATTTGGGGGTTTTGTTTTGTTTTGTTTCAAGACAAGGTTTCTCTGTAGCTTTGGAGTCTGTCCTGGAACTCACTCTGTAGCGCAGGTTGGCCTCAAAATCACAGAGATCCACCTGCCTCTGCCTCCCGAGTGCTGGGATTAAAAGTGTGCACCATCACCGTCCGGCATCAATTAGAATTTAATAAATGCTGAGAGGGAGAGAAAGAGAGAGGAAAGAAAGAGGGAGAGAGGGGAGGAGGATAATGACAAGAATGATGAGGAACAGGAAAAGGTCACTATTCAAATATGATGAGGGACATTTACTAAGAGGACATGACAAGACTGGGAAACTGAGGAAGACTGGCAGAGAGGGAAGGTAGAACAACCATAAGCCTGACTTGCTAAAGCAAAAGGAAAACAGCATTTCAGAAACACTATGATTTCTCCAAAGATACTGAAACATTCAGTATAGTAAGAAGACTTGACAAAGGTGGGCACTTAAGAAAGTCACTGTTGGCCTTTGTGAGGGTCTTTTTAGAAGACCTTACAGAGAGCTGGATGGTAGTGGAGCACACCTTTAATCCCAGCACTCAGGAGGCGGAGGTAGATGGATCTCTGTGAGTTCGAGGCCAGCCTGCCTGGTCTACAGAGTGAGTTCCAGGATAGCCAAGGCTATGCAGAGAAACCCTGTCTCGAAAAAACAAGCAAACCAAAAGAGATCACACAGAGTGGAATTTCAGTGAATTTTTGAAGGCAAAGATAGAGCTTCTGGTACTAAAAGGAAGACTGAGATCATAGCTCAGATATGGAAGATGAAGCAAGCATGCTTTCAGGTGAAGACAGACTGAGAGGGTGGAGCTGCTGTTGTTAGTGCAAACCCCGGCAGGACTCCAGAGCCGGAGGGGGTAAGGGCACCAGGATGAATGGAACATAGCACATAAAACAAGGGTACTGAATTCTCTGGGATCAGAAATAATGACAAGAATTTGAGCGAAGCACCTAGCAGTTTTCTAGCCTGTTGGTTAATTTATTTGTAGTTTGATAGGGTCACTGAGTGCCCAGCCATTTGGTCAAACACCACAAGCGTGTTTCTGGGTGCACAACAGGAAAGTGGAGGAAGGGAGGGAGAAAAAAAGAGAGGAAGGGAGGTAGGGAAGGATGGGGGAGAAGAGAGAGAGAGAGAGAGAGAGAGAGAGAGAGAGAGAGAGATTCCCTGTATCTGGGAATCTCTTGATGTACCTTCAAGCTGGACATCAGTTATTTCCTGCTTTCAAACACA